CCACATGTCCTGCTTCAATCCATGTGTTCAGTGCACAGGTCAGGAAGAAGGCAAAGTAAGGATGGAAAGGGTATTGAGGGGAAAATCAACAGGAAATAGTCATGAAGAGCATGGGTGCTAGTATAGTCTGTCAAGGTTCAAATCCCAGCTCCACAACTTAAATCTGTGTTACCTGGGAAAGTTACCTCTCTATGCCTCAATTTCTCTTTTAGACAAGGAAATGATTGAGGTCAAAAGAAGGAAAATTAAATGGAAAACGCATGTAAAATACTGAGTACAGAATTTGGCCCATCCTAAGCTGTCAAAGAATGTCGGTACATATGGGTGCAAATATGTTTCTGTGAATTTGTACCATATATTCCACCTTGATAAAACAATAGTGTGCATGTACTCTCTTCCATTTAACATACTACAAATTGTAGGAGTTATCATCCTAAACCTGACTTTCTTTTTTCCCCCCTTTGGAAAGGTTGTGCAAAACTACTATATTTACAAAAATGGCACAAATGTGAACTCAACAGTCAATGCACATGCATACTTCATTCACATCGTCAACGATGAAAGGTCTTCAACACTGCAGAACAAATAAGAATGCAGCTATTAAGCACTGAAGTCATGTAAGTTATACCAGAATGGGCAAATATTGTCCAAGTAAAATTCTATTGTTAAAGCAGAAACAGGTTTAAAGCCATTCAAGTGCAAGCACAGTTAGACAAATCTTTCAGAGCCCCATCTATTTGTGTTTGAATCATGTGATCTTTCTTGCAACTTGTGGTCTTAAACTTCTGTTCTACAAAATTCTTTTTTTTTTTTTTTTTTTTTTTTTTTGAGATGTTTTAAGTTTATTTTTTTTATCTGATACACAAAACATAAATTATACATATTTATGGGGTACCATATTAAAGTTAGAATATTGAGTAGCCAAAAGTGACACACAGATGATCCCAAACCCTTCATTTATTATCTATAGTCTATAAAAAGATCCCCACAGTCTGCTTTATTCTGATGTGCTTTGTGTACTTTTTGTTTTTTTTTTTTTTTAATTTTTTTTTATTGGTTGTTCAAAACATTATAAAGCTCTTGACATATCATATTTCATACATTAGATTCAAGTTGGTTATGAACTCCCAATTTTACCCCAAATACAGATTGCAGAATCACATCGGTTACACATCCACATTTTTACATAATGCCCTATTAGTAACTGTTGTATTCTGCTACCTTTCCTATCCTCTACCATCCCCCCTCCCTCCCCTCCCATCTTCTCTCTCTACCCCATCCACTGTAATTCATATCTCTCCTTGTTTATTTTCCCATTCCCCTCACAACCTCTTATATGTAATTTTGTATAACAATGAGGGTCTCCCTCCATTACCATGCAATTTCCCTTTCAAAAGGAAAATACAGAAAAAAAAAACAATACATCAGAGGTTATATTAAATAAGAGTATTATATAAATCGATAATTAAGATGAAACATTGAAATAGTAAAGTTTGATTGTTACTTGTTGGAACCAGTCCTATACTAGAATTAGTTAATATATACAAATATTTTCAAGTAGATAACTTATGTTTCTCTTTTTTTTTTTTTTAATATTTATTTATTTTTTTTAGTTTTCGGCGGACACAACATCTTTGTTTGTATGTGGTGCCGAGGATCGAACCTGGGCCGCACGCATGCCAGGTGAGCACGCTACCGCTTGAGCCACATCCCCAGCCCAACTTATGTTTCTCTAACTCGTCCTTTTCATCAGTGCACTGTTAAACTAATAAAAACACATAGCTGGGTGTGGTGGCTCATGCTTGTAATCCCAGGGCTGAGGCAGGAGATCAATTCAAAGCCAGCCTCAGCAAAAACAAGGCGGTAAGCAACTCAATGAGACCCTGTCTCTAAATAAAATACAAAAATTGGGATAGGGATGTGGCTCAGCGGTTGAGTGCCCCAGAATTCAATCCCCAGTCGCCACCACCACAAAAAAAAAAAAAAAAAAAAAAACACTCTGCACATATATATTCCCTTACAATAGCAGCACATGCTATTACTACCTGCAAAGTTGTCACTCTCAAATGACTTAGTGAATGAAAGGAAACAAAAAGTGAATAAGTGGCATAATAAGGAGAAATTAAGGGAATTAGAAAAATTCGTGCAAGGCAGCTTTTTTAAAATCAGTCAGCCATGGGGCTGGGGATGTGGCTCAAGCAGTAGCGCACTCGCCTGGCATGCGTGCGGCCCACGTACAAACAAAGATGTTGTGTCCACCTAGAACTAAAAAATAAACATTAAAAATTCTCTCTCTCTCTCTCACTGTCTCTTAAAAAAAAAAAAATCAGTCAGCCAGCTTGCCAGCAACAAGGAATGGTTTCCATTCAGGAAGGTCCTGTGGCGTGGGAACGTAGCCACCAGTGACCTCTTTGTTATCCAGGGCTGTGTTAGGAAGTTGCTTGTTTTTGCATGTTGTAATCCCCAGAATCAAAATATATTTGCCCTTTCTGCAATCATTTCCTTAAACATCTGAACCTCGAGGCTTTTGTCCCGGGTGAGAATACTTTTTTTAATTTTGCTTCTTCAGCTTTCTCTAAATTAGTCACTTTATCTTCCATTTCCTTCTGAAGGCCAGGGACTTCATGGACACAATGCTCTCTCTGCCTAGCCCTGCTCCTCCAGCTTCCCTAAACCTGAGTTTTTTAATTTAAATATTTATTTTTTAGTTTTAGGTGGACACAATATCTTTATTTTATTTGTATGTGGTGCTGAGGATCGAACCCAGTGCCTCATGCATGTTAGGTGAGCGCTATACCACTGAGCCACAACCCCAGCCCAAATCTGACTTTTTAAACTCTACTATTTTTTATGTAGTACATTTCCTGTCTTCATATGTTTACTTGCCTCAAATTGACCTTCATATCCCATGTAAGCATTATCTGCACAAAAATGCAACAAGGTAGTTAAAATCATTTGAAATATATGTTGTATTAACAGAAAATGTCACTGTAAAATAAAACTGCAAATTTCAAAGAGAGATAATCTTGGTATCAAATTCCATTGATCTAAGGGCTTATCCAAGTTACTGAACCTCTCTGTACCTGTTTTCTCCTTGTTAAAATATAAAGAAGACCCGAATCTCACAAAATTGTGACGATTAGGAACAGTGAGATGCTCAGCATATAGGACAATCACAGCAAATTTCCCACATGCAATTCACGCACACACTCTTTTACACACACACACCCTAATCACTGTCATCTCTGTCAAGTGAACTAAACTTCTCAGATGATCTTTGTCACCATTTTCATATTTTATATAATAGGCTTCAGTGATTTATTGTGGCAGTTTTCAAACCAGGGTACCCATACTCCTGGGGTACTCCAAGACTTCCTAAGGGTACAAACCCATGGATATTTTAAAGGAACCATTTTTCAGATCTTCACCTTTCATATGTATTCTTTCCTAAAATTGCCCTGAGATCTGTTGGCCCTGGTTCTCCCTTCCTACCTCCCTTTCCACGATCAACCTTACAAAGAAAGGCTCTTTACAAAAGATATACTTTCACCCATTTTTAACCTTACTCTGGTACTTTGTCCTAAAGTGTAAAAATCTATGAAGTACCAAATAAAAGAATAATTCAGTCTTTCCTTTAATCAAGGTCCCATAAACACCCCAGTTCTCTCTTTAAGAAATAAATTTCTGACATACATCTGTAATCCCAGCATTCAGGATGCCAAGGCAGGAGAATCATCAGTTCCAGGCCAGCCTCAGCAATTTAGCAGGGCCCTAAGCTACTTAGCAAATTTGTCTTTGTCTCAAAATAAAAAATAAAGGGTTCAGAAGCCAGGAGAATGAGAAGTTATACTCCATATATGTAGTCAAAATACATTCTACTGTCAAGTATAACTAGTAAGAACAAATAATTTTTTTTTCAAAAAACATATTATCAGAGGGAAAAAAAAGGTTCAGAATGTAGCATGTAGCTCAATAGTAAAGTTCCCCTGGATTCCATCCCCAGAACCAAAAGAAAGAAAGAGAGAAAGAAGGAAAAATAGAAATTTCTAATACAATTTAACTTTTAATAACTAAAGGTTATCATGTTTTAAATATATTTATATTATTTTCACCAATTATGTTGTAATAATAATTGCAATAATAACACACTCCAGAAAAGAAAAATTAATATTTTGGAGACTTATTGTCAAAGGAAATTAGGAAAAATATTCCATTTGTACATACTATGGGTATATATGCATACATACACAAAGCAGAAAGTGTAATAAGCAATAAGAAACTCTCAAGCATAACAATGGGATAAAATTCTGTGGGGGAAGTGAAACAGAAATCAAGTTCAAAAAAAAAAAAAAAGAAAAAGAAAAGGAATAATGTCCCAGTGTTAAATAACTTTATTTTAAATGAATGATGGTGGATAGTAAATCACCACAGTATTTATCGTCCATTGGGTAAATTTCAGAGTGATTTAACGTTTTAATTTACAAATATCAACATTTACAATAAGCCAGATATCACATCCCTTGCAACTATTAAACTCATGATGAAACAAAAATCAGATAATAAACTGAAGAGCTACTATCAGCTTGGAGGGGTACTAATAACCTGATAAAGCGAGCCCTCAAATATCATTTAGGTGTCCTTCCTAAAACTCAAGTCAAGCCCAATTAGTTTCAGTGACAAATAAAGGGACCATTAATTCAAAGTCATTCTCTTCCTTTCCTCCCCATTTCTCCCCATCAGTCGCCCCCTTCTAAGTCCCTAGTCGTCCCTCGCTCCACCCTCGCTCCTTTGTGGGCTCCTTTAACCCACCCTGTGCCCGCCCAAGCACTCCAGCGCATGCGCGCTTCACTTCCTTTCCACCCGCTGCTGCTGTGTCATGGCCGAGCGGAAGTTCCAGCCCCCGCGGGAAAGGGCGTCCTTAAGATGGAAAGGGCTTCCCACAGCTTTCTCCCCCTCCTCCCATAACATCTTTCATTCTCTCATTGTAGGGGGGCCCCTACCCTGTACTCTCCCGAACACCTCGTAGTCCACGGATTTGAGTGGCTCGCTGGTAGACATGGCGGCGGCGAGCCCTCTGCCGAGGAGCCGGAGCGGGATTCGGGGCGCGGCGACTGCGGCTGCCGCGAGAGGGAGGAAGCACATGGGACCGCTGGGTGCCTTCCGCGCCTGTCCCCCGCCCGAGTCGCAAGCGCGCTGGGTTCACGCGTCAAACGCTGTAAATGAGACCGCCTGGCCCGGGAGTGAGGGCAGACGGGGACGCCGGGCGTCCGAGGCCTCTTCTTCCCCCCCCGCCCAGCGGAGCCCGCGCTCCCAAGAATGAGCGCCCCTGTGTGCGCCCTGGGATTTAATTCGCCATGGCGCTTGATGCTCAGTGTTCGTGAATTAAAGCCAGGTGCTGGGCTCAAAATGGGGTTGCTTCCCTCCCCCCAACTTTATTAACCAAAAAGTGTATATATAAGGTGAGGTTTTGATATGGGGATTCTTTGTGAGCAGATTAGATCAAGCTAATTAACAGTCATCACCTCTTTTTTACGTAGAGAACTTTTAAGATCTCAGTTTTCAAGTATACATTATTCTTAACCGTAGTCACCATGTTAGACAATAGATGTACAGTATTCACAGTAACAAGCATTGCACCCTATGATCATTGTCTTTCCCTTTCCAACCTCCCTTCACTCTCTTCCACCAAGAAGAAGTGCTTTTGAAACTAAGGGCTTGCTAGGGCAGTGGTTAAGGGTATTTGATAAGTAAATTGATTACGAAATGTTCTGGTGAATGCCAAATCTATCTGGCAATTTCAAGCCAACTCAAAAGATGAGGTCTGTAAACTTTTCACCTCTTCCACTGAGTTAGAAAGGCTTTGGACCTGTATCCCTTATCCTAAATAGACTGATATTTTCTGAAACAAGAACCTGTTTATTTTAAGTCTGAACTTTTGAAAATGTCCTCTTGTTTGTTCTGTTATATAGTTTTTTTTTTGTTGTTGTTGTTTTTGTTTTTTTTTTTTTTTTTGGTTTTTAAGGTCTTGCTTATCTCAAATACCTAGAAAGTTAAGGCAGTTTATGTATTTCCTGATGATCTAAGTTTGTCTGTCTGTCTCTCTTTTTTTCCCCTTTGGATATGGTATATCCCTTGCCCAGACTGGCCTTGAACTTCTGGACTCCTGGGCTCAAGTGATCCTCCTGCCTTAGCCTCTTTGAGTGCTGGAACTACAGGTATGGGCCACCACTCCCAGCCCATAAATTCTAATTTGTAACAACCCATCAACTCCAAAGAAACTAGAAACAGTTTTTGATAATATGCCTTCTAGATTCCAAATCCTATTACATGTAAGAATTTGCATATTCAATTTGTTGGCTTCAACACCCTTGCGCGCATATATATATATATATATATATATATATATTTTTTTTTTTTTTTTTTTTTTTTGCATTTGGCCTCATAGTTAAAAAATTCACTGCAACCTGATTCAATGTCATGTGCCAATTCTGTCAGAGAATACCAAAAATTATCTAAAACTTGGTTAGAATGTGGTTAGATCATGTTTTAAAATTTATTCTGAGGTGCTTTCTGATTGATTTTATATAATGAAAGTCTTCGTTGCAGGATACCTCACAATTATATCTTCCTCTCATTTCCTTGTTCATTTCATACAGAGTATGGAATCAATGTAAGTATTAAGTCATTCTTCTCACTCTTCACTGCTGTCAGAATCAAAACTAAGGTCTTCCACCTCAACTAAGCCCTTATTAAGTGCTTACCAAAATCCTATAAGTGATGTAATCAAGACAGTTATTCTGCAATCTGAACAGAGAGGTTAAACAAAACAAAAAATGACCTTTTCTCTTGGATCTACTTTATCTGGAATACACCTGCTACTCTAGACTCTTACCCTATCTTGTTCAGTTGCCTTTGCAAGTTCTTACCAGATTTCATCCTAATTATTCAATGCTAAGTGTTCCAAGTCACTGACTGGGAAAGTTGATGGTTTCCTTTTCTTAATCAGTCCTTGCCTTTTTTCCCACATTTACCTAAGATTGCCCCTGCCAATTATTATGTAGCTTTATTTTTAACTTAAGAAGTGCTATAGCAACAATTGACATTTGCTTAGCTAAAAAATTTACTATGTCTGCCAACAGCAGAACATTAGCAAATGGAAACTTTATGTACCATTTCAGCATGGATTGCCAATAAAATGGTAAGACTTTAGAAATTTTAAGTAAATGATTCTAATATTTAAACTAATTTTTATAGTAGAGGATAGGAAAGGCAGCAGAATACAACAGACACTAGTATGGCAATATGTAAATCAATGGATGTGTAACTGATGTGATTCTGCAATCTGTATATGGGGTAAAAATGGGAGCTCATAACCCACTTGAATCAAATTGTGAAATATGATATATTAAGAACTATGTAATGTTTTGAACAGCCAACAATAAAAAATTTAAAAAAAAGTAAAAAAAAATAAACTAATTTTTAAGCAACAGAAAAATTTTTTAAATAAAAGGGAAAAAATCATCCATAATCATCCTAGCACAACTGTTATAATTTTTGTATATTCTCTCTATATACATGTGTGTTTGTGTGTTTTTTTAGTAGTTACAGCATGAATTCAATTTTTATTCTTTTCTATATTGTAGTCTTTCCAATGGATGTTAAGTGGGTATGATCATAAATTTACTTACTAGTCCTGTGATTACACAGTCAGGCTACTTTTCATTTTTCACTACTATAAAAAATTTTGTGAAGGAACTATTTATGCATGTAGCTAATGCCGCAGTCTGGCCGGGTACAAATAACCGAGCCCCCACAAGGCACTTGTAGGTTCAAACAGCAGCTACTTTATTGCCCGAACTCTCACCCGCACTCCACACACGCTTCCCGGGAACTCTCTCACCCTCCACCTCTCAACGAACCCCGAGAGAACTCAATGGGAACTCCAAAGTAGGGGCGCCCGAGGCAGCAGGAGCCCTATTCCAGGAGCCTCCCTATTCCAGGAGCCTCCCTATTGCCGGTCAGCAGGGTCCATATACAACTCAATACACAGCCTGTTTCAATCCAGCATCATCCAGTCACAGCAATTATAACTTAATTATCATCATCTTAATGGCTCGCTGGCTCATCTCTTAACCACTCCTTCTGGGAAAATGCCATGAGCCATCCCTACTCGGCTGTGGCCCTCAACAGCTTCCTTCCCATATTTTTATATTAGAAGTTAGAATACTTTTAACTTAAAATATATCAGAATATAGGCATGTATTATTCTTGACATGTATTGCCAAATCACTTTTCAAAGGGCTGTACCAATTTAGATATACTACTGTCAACACCATGTATGACTATTTGCCATTTATTTATTTATTTATATGGTGCTGGGAATGAACAATAGACAAAGTCTCAACCACTGAGCTACATCCCCAGGCTCTGCCTTTTTTTTTTTTTTTTTTTTTTTTTGAGCTCAGAAGCATTTTATTAAAAAAAAAAAGTGTGGTTATTTTAATATGAGCTTAAAAATTCATCATACATTTACTTCATTTTTTTAGCTTGACTTTCTTTCTAGTAATCTTTAGCTTCACTGTTTTGGGCTACTATAGAAGGAGATCCTCCTTTGGGCAATTTAAAAGCATAATTTGTCAAGCATCTCATTTTCCTTTATTGACTATATGGCTTAAACAGTATTAATGTTGCTTCCTGTTTTGTCATTTTGATTTCAAACCCACCTCTATAATAGCTACCACTGACGGCAGATTTTGGTAGACTCTGAAATTTGTATTTTACTTGAGGCTCCATATGTTTCATGGCTTGTAAAACAGCACTCTGCAAATCCTGCAGCAGCAATGGTCAGTCCAACTGCTACCACTGTACTGGCCATGTCTCAGTCTCAGCTCCCCTGCTTTTACCAGGAGCACCGTTCATCCTAGCCCAGAGGCCACAGCCACCACCATAAGCTTTAACCAGAAAGTGATATATCTGCAGGAGCAAGCACAAGTTCCCAAGTACAGGAACCCTCACTTAGTTGGCTTTCTATGCATATATAAACAGGCTCTTCAGATATAATACATGATTAGATTATATATAACATTGGATTTTGTAACCTGACCTATAGTCAAAACACTGAATTATTCTACAATCCAAAAAGAGAGATTTATTTTAAAAAGCCTTTGCTCTAGGATCCACTTTATATGGAATACTCCTGCTATTCCCAGATCTTTCTCTCTCTTGCTCAGTTACCTCTGCAAGTTCTTACCAAATTTCATCCTAGTTATCTATAGCAACAATTTTGGAATAACTCGGCTCTGTTATTACTATTGGTCAAAATTAAACCCTTACATTATGTAAGTCTCTTCCTTGAACATTTTAAGACAAATTGTTTATGTTGTAGGATAATATTTAAGGTAATGCATATAAAAGGAAAATCCTACCTATACAATGTAGATAGAAAAAATGACCAGGCACTAGAACCTGTGAAGTAAGGAAGGACAGGCAACAGTCTCTGGGTCCAAGTGACATTTAAATTGAGGAGGTGCAACCTGTAAATTTCTAATTTATCACCACAAAGGGTCAGTTGAGAGTGATTCCTGCAGTGATTTCTCAGAAAGTTGAAATTGGGATATAATTGATTTCAAAGACAACCAAAATTACTTCATCCATCAACATTTCTATTCCTGACATATTTTTGTAATCATGTCGAAAGAGCAGTTCTCAAAAGGATACAAATTGTTAACTTCCACAAGGGAAAAGACCTAAATAAGCTAATTCAATGATTCCCTTATAGAAGGAATACTTCATAAGCTAAAGATGTGGTTAAATAATTATTACTAAACTGGATTCAAAATCATTAGCCAGGGGCTGGGGATATGGCTCAAGCGGTAGCGTGTTCTCCTGGCATGCGTGCAACCCGGGTTGGATCCTCAGCACCACGTACAAACAAAGATGTTGTGTCCGCCGAAAACTAAAAAATAAATATTAAAAAAATTCTCTCTCTCTCTCTCTTAAAAAAAAATCATTAGCCACCAAACTCTTAATGTATTTAGCTGACTTAGTAGCTATTTCTCAGAAGAGGCTTACATCTTATTACAATTTATCAGAAAATTACTTAAGCATTTTATCAGGAAGGCATGTTTCCTTCCCAAGTATCTCAAGTTTGGACCAATTTTTCTTTATCAAAATCCACTTTAATTTTTACAACTCAAGAGGACATGAAATATTAAAGCTTCTTCCCTCTCCCAGCCCAGTACTGCTTAGGGTAAGTGAGGGAGAAGGCATGATTGATCCCTCCCTTGCC